TTCCTTGATAGCAGTAACTCAGATTGTTTCAGTTCTTCTTTTAAAATTACTAATAAACGTTTGCCATAATCTATAATTGTTTGATCTAAATATATAAACTAAATATGAAGTTTCTTTAAAAGGAGATGAAAGGGGGGTTTTGTGTTTACAGCATTTGGAACGCTTAGCAGTGTTGCTTTGCATATCATATAGAGAAGAGTAAGTGCTGTATACTCAAACACACTTGGATTTTATGTGTCCGTTTAAGGAAAAGAGGAAGCAAATCCAGAAATCTTTATCTATTCATGCAGCTCTTTCTCTTTTGCAAAAGCATGTTTAATTACTTAAGTATAAAATAGTCTTTCACTCTTTTTCTTCTGTCTTTTTACTTGTCTACTGAAAAGAGTAGATAAACCATGGGGTCCATTATTATTTGTGGTTTCTAAAATTTATACAGACAAGGTACTGACTGGCATAATGGAAAATCCTCAGATATACAGTGCAGTAAATGTGATAAGCTTTTGTCAGCCTTGTGTTTTAGGATTTTTTTTAATGGTCTTAGTAATGGTCTGGGTGGTGAGAGTACTTGGTAAAGATCTGAACTGTGCTGTGAATTCCCTTTTGACCTTACAGTAATTTTTATTTTACTTTCTATAATGAAATGGGATTGTTAGTTAATGACCTTTTCTACAGAACTTACAAGTTTGCTTTTTTTTTTTTTTTAAGTGGTTTGTAAATGAAAAGTAATTACTGTCATTGTCCTTAACATCAAAACGGTTGGTCATCTAAAAATAAGCAAATCTTTTGCACCAGGATTTCTTAAAAATTTTTAGTTTGTTACTTGTTCTTACTGAGGAGTTCTCTTTTTTGGGTTGTGGTCAGCATGTGCGTATGTGGTGGTAGGGCTGGTCTGCTCTTGTATTTGTAAAAAATGAAATAGTTTACTTGGCATAACCTTGGCCACTGATTTGAGACCATAGACTCAAGAATGCCCCTTGGAATAAGTGATAAAACTATCTACTGTTTGCTTTCTGAATCTTTTACAACATATGGATTATTTATAAAGTTTTTGAAGATTTAAAGAAAACCTTTGCAAGTTATCATGTAATTTTAGAGTTACTTTGCAAAACATGTAAGCTTAACTAGTACAGACTCGTATTCATTTCACTGCTTCTCACTTTTCCCTCAGGAGTCATCTTGCTTGGTATCAGGACTAGATATGTATGAGATAAGTGTCTTCCCAAAATAAAACTGACCCAGTTCATTGGAATTGCTTACTTGTAGGTGATTTTGACTGGAAGGTCTTGAACTTAAAAGCCAGGAATATCAAAGTCAACTTGTGATACCAATTGACATGATATTCTTGAATGTAGAATAAAACAAAATAAACCAATAGCTATGACCTATACAACAAATGCAGTAATATTTTGTAGTAGTAACAGCCACCTCTTTTCTGAATATCTCAAAGCAGTTTATAAACAGTTGAAGAAATTCCTGCCTGCCCTTTCGAGAGAGGATACCAGAGATACCTGCCTGGCAGGTATGGGAACAAGCACAAAGGGGAGAACTGACTTGTCTGAATATATGCAAAAGTCTTCACCAGATAATTTAGGATGATATGTATTTTTTTGAAATTCATGTGTTTCTCAATTCTGTATGTTACCACTTGCTTGTTCTTTTTTGAGGCCTAATGTAATAATCCCTATTTTAATTACATTTTTATCATCTCTTAGTATTCTTATGAAGAAGTGGGCAGTATATTATGTGGTTGTTATTGCTATGTTGCTATTTATGTCTATTTAAAATTAAATGATACTTTTATGTACTTTAATACATAATTTCTTAAATTTCATCTTTATTTAAGAAAAAAATTAAATGAATAGTCTGGAGGGACTCTAACCTGTTACAGAAATCATAATTTATTCAGGATTTTTCTTCTAGTTGGTATAGTTTCATTTTTAATACAGTATTGAATTGTAATTATTCCTGTGTCATCAAAACAAATGAAGTGTCCAAACCATCCTGTTAAGTGGTCATTTCAGGATAGTTCTCCAAATGAACTTCCTGCTCCGAAGCATTGCATGCTTAAAATATACATACTTTCCCAGGTTGTAATAAACATACCAGGAAAAATACAATGAATACTAGTTGGATAGTGAAGTTACTCTAAGAAATAGCATTATATACTTTTGTACTTCCCTTCTGCATTACTTAAAGTTTCTGGCAGAGCAGTGAGGTGCTTTCATATCTTAAAGAAAATTCTCAGCTAAAATGAGAGAATGTTCTTCTAGTGAGTTTTTCAGATTAAAAAAATTATAGTTGTGGCCATAAAGTATAAAAATAGAAATAACAAATCCAAGTCAAATCTACAAATAGCCCATTGATTAATATGTTTCATGTAGTGGAGGATTACTGTGGGGTACTGGCCGTTCATGTCATGGGAGAGAAGGGATGGAGAGGAGTGATCCGCTTACCAACTATCTGGTGCTTTCAGTTATTTGACATTTTTGTTGCAGCTCATTTATTGTATTTTATGGTCACCTCTAAGTCTGAGTTTGAAGGTTGTGTAGGATACTGTAAACTTTCTATTCAGTATCAACCTTACATTTAGATCTTCTTATCAGAGGGTCCGTTCAAGCCTACTGCAGTAGCAGGACAACTGACCTTTTTCTATAGTTTAATCTTGCTGCTTTTGGGTCTATGACTTACAGTTAGCAAAAAAACCCATCTCAGATATTTGCTATTTGATTGAAAAATTGAAAGAAAGTGGATTGGCGTAGGCTACTCTAGATTATTTTCAAATATAGTTAATTTTTAGAGATATGTTAGGTGAAAACCATAACATGCCAGAAAAGTCCAGTGTCTGTTGTACTCAGGTTTGGCAGGTTTTTAAGAGGCAGACTACTTGTTTGTTTGCTGTGTTTCGGGAATGTTATGTAGGTTTTTGAAAAATATATTGAAATTTATTTTGTCTTTAGCAGAGCAGTTAGTACTGAAGTCAGGATTTTGTCTTAACTGGTTGTATAGCTAGCAAATAAAGCTGTAGGATATACATTGTTTTTACTAGTAGCAGGGGGGATTGGAGGGTCAAGGTGGCCGACAAACTCTGATACAGACTTAAGGCATCCTCTCAAGCCAGAAATATGGCTTAGTGGTTTTTTATACAGATAAGTTATACTTCTACAGGGAGATATTGAAACTTGAAGTTCCAGTTTAAAAGAATCTGGAGATCACAAATACTGCATAGTTTTGAGTTTATCAATAAACAAACTCCAGATTCCATGGCTGTGTCTTCCCAAGTTGTTTTAGTAAGAAAACTATTGTAATTCCAGTGAAACATACTGTTCCCACCTTACAGTATTGATGGACAGAAATCCTTTGATAAACTATTCTCTAAACTGGGGTTTTGTACTATCTGGCATTCTGCAGACATCTGCCCAATATATAACTATGTGTTTTGTTGTTGTTTTTGTTTTTAGTTTCTCCAGCAATGGACTCTCAAAACCTTGGATGATGAATTGAGAATATGGTCATTTAAATTGTGAATTATATTAATGTGGGAGCAGTTGAAGGCACTTTAGGATCAGCGCTTACTGCTGACAAGCGGGAAGAATGACCTGAAATAATCTCTTAGGAACATGTGGAAAGTGCTATACTTCTAATACAAATAATTAATCAAATAAATATAAGATAGGTTAACAGATGAAGCAGTAGGCTTGCAGAATATGATCTGTTGCAGATCATAAACAGAAGACAATGTTTTACTAATATGTAAGGGAAGGCACTAAAGTTCTGTCGATTTGTATTTTATTTTTTTAATGTATCCTCCATCAAAAACAGGAAGTCTTTAATCTTACGTGCTCAGTGCTATTGAGGCCTCAAGTGGAGCCATGTATCCAGTTTTGGCACAGGGAGTCAAGATAGAGGTAAATAGCTGGAAAGTGTCCGGAGGAGATAAAAATGATTAGCTGTCAAGGAAGCATGAGAAGTGTAATGAGTGAGAATTGACATTTTTGTTGCAAGCATGTCTTTCTCTCTCTCTAGATAAACATTGAAAAAAATCTTTTGTAAAGAAAGGAATAATCTCTCAGTGAAGAAGACTAGGAGTAATTAATCTAGGGAGGGAGATCTAGACGTTAGGAAAAAATACTAATTGTGAGAATAGTTGAGCTCTGTAATAATTTGCATAGGAAGGCCAAGGCATCCCTATTGTCAGAGGCTTTTAAGAACAGGTTAGAGAAGTGTCTGGGGTTGGTTGATTCCTTGGTCAGATAAACGGATTAGTATTCTCTAGGTCTTTTCCAGCAGTTTTCTCTAATTTTCTAGAAAATAACCATAATAGGTGTGGCTTGTGTAGGAGATAGCATTGATTAGTAAGAGTTGTTGGGTTTTTATTTTAGACAAGCAAAGACCTTTTTTTTTTTTTTTTTTTTTTTTTCCTTCAGAGCACCAGATAATGTATTTGTTGCATAAATCCTGAAAGGAAAAGACTTCTGTGCCTTGATGAAAGTGAGCTATCACTTACTAAATTTAAATACAAAAGTTAAACTTCCTAAACCCTTATTTTTTAAAAAATATATTTGTTTTTGTAGGTGCTTCTGCCTTGCACAGCTACTAAGTTTAGTATTACCTTGGGTGCCTTTCTTCACCCTGCCTTGGCTTCTGTGAGCACTCTGGAGAAGTGAAGATGTATTCAGTAATTTAGAACTGGTCTAGAAAGACACTAGGCACTTTTGTGGTAGACTGTCATAATGTCTTTTAAATCAAAATTGCTTTAGAAAAAACTGCTCCTTCTGGTTTTATAATTATTAAGGAGAAGTCGCTCTTATTTATATATCTATTAGTGTCTGTACCAGAGGATCATACCTTTGTAAGTTTTTGGTAATTAAAAATTTTTTTTCTTTTTTTTTTTCTCCTGATCAAAGGGGCTTAGCCTGGACTGTTTTTTAGGTATAATATTATATGACACTAGTTTTTAATGCTTCATTTGATTTCCTCACTCCCCGCCCCCAACCCCCTAGGTCTCTGTCTTGAGAAGTTGCCAATTTCTTCTTCAGCTAGCAACCTCCATGTGGACCGTGAACAAGAAATTGTTACGTGCTACGAGAAGGCTGGGGATATTGCTCTCCTGTACCTTCAGGAGATAGAAAGGGTAAGCTGGGATGATTTGCTTATTGAAGAATTGCATGGTTCATCTTTCATTGATGCAGTGTTATCATTTTGGTAACTCAACTAAAAGTTGTCTAATATTTATTTTCTTAGGACTTCAATGCACACTTACAGTTGGACAATAAATTAGCGTGCCTTAATGTATGTCTGCTAGCTGTCCTTCTGACTGTTCTTTCATTCTGATCTCTTCGAATATAGTGCTAGTAGTCTAAAAAGGGACAGAGCTCCTCTGAACTACTGCGTATATTCAAGACGCTGATCTGTGGCCTCTTGTTACCCTATGGTGGTTCATTTATGAACATGGGTTTATGGTGTCTTTCAAACACATGTGTTGGAATATGTACATTGTATGTATATACTTACTAGCTTTTCACGTAATTCTTAAAAAGAATTAAATTCAAAATGAAGCTATGAAGATTGAAAATTGATCTTGTTGATATTTATTTGGAGCCAATAACTTAACTGCTCTTAAATCCTCTTTATAAAACTACTTGAAGGTAAAATTCTTAAATAATATTGTACCCATCAGCAAGACACTTGACGTATCAGTGGGATGTCCAGAATAGTAACTGAAGGTGTGTTTGCTTCAACTAATAAGTACAATCCTGGGACAGTGAAAAAAATCATCAGATATGATAGCCAGATAAACAGAGTATTTTAAAATATAGATGAAATTCAGATAAATCTTAATAGTTCTATAAATTGGATCAGGACAATGTTCTTGGACTTGATAGCCCATTTGTCATTTTATCTCATTAATATATTGCTCACTGTATAGATGAAACTACAATTACTGTTAAAATCCAAGGTACTAGATATGTAGAAGACCTGGTTTTTATTGATGAAAGATGATACATCTGACTGAGCTTCTTAACGTTAGACAAAATATAACCTACAAACAGCTCTGCAGATTATTAGGCAAGTTACTGTTTTCTCTTTTTCCCACGGTTTTATAAGTTATGGAGTATGAATTACAGAAAGTTAACGTTAGGCTCTTTGTTTGTAAAGAGTGTAACACTTCATGATTTAAAAGCTTCAGGCTTTATCTGAATTTAAAGGGATCCATAGGCTCTTTTATTTCCTCCTCCTGTTTTCATTTACACCATTAACCTTGTTTTCGGTTTCTTACCACTTAGCAGAAACCCTTCAAATGTTATAAATACTTTTTTTTAAAGAAAAGAAAATCTGTGGCACCCTTTGTTTCTAGGATTTACACACTACTGCATTTTATTTAGACTTTGAGATATGTCTGGACAAAATACAATACACTTGGGGCTCTATTCTTTGGCTTGTGAATACTATTAGAATGAAGCAAGCGAGCAATATCACTGACCCTCTTTTTCAGACCTATTGCTTGCAAGCTTCAGGCCTGTCATTTGACAGTTGGCATTGAAGGGGTTATTAGATACAGTTAGGGTCACACAAGCAAAAGGAAGGGGAAAGAAAACTTTGATGTGATGGGGGAAAGAAAAGTAATTCACACTGTTTTTTAAATAAATACACGTTTTTATTTTCTGAGGGTTTTTTGCTTTGGGGTTTTTGTTATTATCTTTTAGTGGCTGGTGGACTATGTGCAGTGAAAATGAAGGCAAATGAAAGCTGTTAGCTCTCCATTTTGAGAGAGCATTTTTAATGTTGATGTAATACAAATTAAGTTATTTTTAAATTGTTTTTTGGAAACCACTCTGGAGATCACTTTTAATCTTCTTACTGCTTTCTGCAGCAGTCTTTCCTAACCTGACAGGGTTTTAGATTTTGAATACTATCACCTCCTGCTACTGAATAAGGTTACAAATATGCTTTTTCATATACTTCTCTTTTGTATGCCATTCTTCACAGAACTTTCTGAAAAAGTTTTATAAAATTATTCTGAGTGGCATTTCTGCTTCCTGAAGAAATTGCCTTTAAGGATAAAGCCAAAAGCAAAACGATTTATATTTAGGTGGGAGTGGAGGTAAGGATAGAAATATTCTACTAGCCACTGCCTGCAAATGAAAAAGATTTCTCCAACATTAAGTATTAGCTTCTGTGTAAAAGTCCACAAAACTTGATTTTTTTTTTTTTTTCCTAAATAAATTTTTTTACTTCTTCTTTTGTTTTCTTAGGTAATTAATGCCAATTTACAAAACAGAAGCCCTAAACCAGGGCCCACTGCACATGAACAAGAACTTGGTTTTTTCCTGGAAACAGGGCTTCAAAGAGCACATGTTTTATATTTCAAGAATGGGTAAGATTTGATTCTCCTTTTTTTGTATTTGTTTTTTGTTTAGGTTTTGTATTTGTGATCTAACTTGGCATCATAATTTTTAGCAATTGTAGATTGTGTAATCATGAGGACTTTAATAAAGTAGTAACATTTTGATTGAAATAGTAAGGCTGCCCATATTGTATTTATTTACATATTGTAAAATTGTTTAATCAAAGTATATTAAACAGAAAGCATTTTCTATTTTTACTTTCTAAATTGAGAACTTAAAATACCTTAAACTTGAACTATTTGAAATTTCTTTTACTTTATTACTAGACACTGTTAGAAAGTGATTGACAACATATTGAAACTCTTGATTTTTATAATTTTGATTTTGTAATTTTTTTCCAAACCTCTTCAGTTATCACTTATTTTAACATTATGCTGCAGGATAAATGTGCATGAAGATCAACAGTATGTATACAAGTATACAATCTCCATTGTATCTGCTCTATAGATCCTTCTAGATTCTGCATGGGAGATCCTTTATAATTTATTTTAAATAAGGCTTCCCTTAAAAGTCTAAAAATAAATTCAGATATCACAGAAAATAAAAAAAGGAATACAACTCGCCATTTATAAGAGCTTCAAAACTTGGCACAAATGGTTTTTAAGTACATTTCTGACATTTGTTGTTGAAATCACATAGTTTAAGAATTTATTTGCAGGGCTTCTTATTTCACTAGGAAAATGTGGTTTCATTGAAATATTGGAACTATTGGTAGGACTACTGTTTTGTACCAAAAATATTTCTTATTCTTACAAATACATAAACAGAAGATAAAGGGAAATCGTGCAGTGTCTGTAAAGAGTTCGAGATTTTAATGTACTGATGGTAGGGTGACAAAAGGCTATCCAAGTTTTCAAACTGTTCAGGGACTTCAGCATGGAAATGATCACTAAGCTTCTGAAATCTCATTCTTAAAGTAATGAAGTACTGCTGCAATAACACATGATCTGAGAGTTACTTTTTAGTTCTGTTTTCATCATTTAATTGCAGGAGGAATGGAATGTTCTGAAAGTTAATATTTTTCATTTACCAGAGCTAAAAATAAAACTTCTGTTTTCATGGCTGCACAAAAGATAAATAAAATATACTTATTGAAAGAATCCCAGTGGCAATCATGGTTAGGAATAAGCTAAAAATTCCACATTTTGAAGAATTTTGATTGAAGGCCAGGAATGGAAGTGGTCCATTTAATCTGACATGTTGTGTGTAAAAGCAATCAGTAATAGATATAGCAGATCAAGATTAATTAAGAAAAAAAGAAAATGGCACAAAAAAGTCGTGCAGTGGATTATTGAGGAACATCCAGCCCAGAGGAGTATTTTTCCTAGACTGTATCAGTTGGTCTGGTGTGTGCTTTGAAAGGTTGATTGTATTCCATGTACCCTTTAATCCTTCACAGTGAAGCTGGTGGTGTTCTTGTTAGCTCCTACATAAGCATATAATTTTTTCTGCAGTCTTTAGTACAATGGTCACTTGCAGTTTACAAGCTAATTACACATTATATATTTAACTTTAAACTTCTTCCAATTTCATTGGCCAATGCTACTTTTTTTTTTTTTTCTGTGGTATGAGAGGAAACAAGGTGTTAGGAAAAATGGCTCTGTGCCAATCATTATTTTACATATTCCTGCCATTATATCCTTTAGTTTCCTTTCTTCATTTAGAGCCAATCCCAATTCTCTCAAGATTTCCTAATATGGTCATTGTCCCAGGCTGCTAGTTATGTTGCTGCTTTTATGGGTCACTTTTTTTTAATTAGTTTTTAACTTGGGTTTACTAGAACTGAACAAAACTTTAAATGTATAAAATGTATACTTTTCTAACAGGGACAAATTTATAGCATGCTTTTTAATACACTTATTTTAAGGATGCTTTGCTTGGTTTTTAAATTTGTCACCTCTCCTGATGTTAGGTTAATAGAAAGATCTTGAATCTAATTTCTATGAAGCTTCGCAAGATACTTCAAGTTTGAACTTTATCTAAAATTGTAAAAACTATATGAACATTTTCAAGGAGAGGAAATGTTGATATCTTTAATATAGGCAATTTAGAAATGGAAATCTTTATTCAAAATAAACTTTTTTTGCAATTGAACCTGTAGATGTTAAAAGGGCTTCAATCCTGTGGAGGAGGCAGGGAATCACCATAGTTTAACTGCTTGTGAGTGATGGGGGAGAAGGAGAAGAGTAAAAGTGTGCCTGTCTATTTTTACAGGCAGACTAAATCTGTTATTCATATAGTAATGCAGTGGAATCTCTTATTTGTGTATGTTCATGAAGTAAGGTTGACACTCAGAAGAGTTGAATCTGAAATTAAAGTTCCTATCACCAAACTATAACCTGGCTTGCGTCAGTTCAAATGTTATCCCGTTACCAGCATAGTGGCTATAGTAATTTGTGCATTAGAGCATGCTTAAAGATCTGAGTAGATGTTTATGGATTTTTTGCTGTTTTTTTTAGTCTTCAGTTCCACTCCAATAAGTATGAATAAACATCTCTCAAAATCTGCTGGAGAACTGAATTTGTCTGAAGTCCTTTTGCTATGGAGTGGGTTTTTGTTGTTGTTGCATATCTAGGGGTCGGTTGGCTAATCACTGCTTTTAATTACACTTCTTCCACTAGAAGTGGAAGCGTCATTTTTGTGCATGTTAGAAAAGAAAATAAGATAACTTTTATACTAGCTGGAAGAGTATAATTTTAGCAGTAATGTAGGGAGTATTGCTGCCTACCCAGAAAGCTGGTTGATCCATTTGAAATTTTCCCTATGTTCACTAACTGTGCAGAGTTTTTCTTTTAAGCCAAGAAATCAAGTTTTTCTAGAGGATTAAGTGATTTATCTTTCAGGTATGCATTATCTTGACTGAAAAACTAGAAAGTGTTTGAAACCTAACTTTAGCCTGACTACTAAGTGCTGGCATTTTGAAAATAAATGGAAAAGCAATTATCTTTAAAAAAAAAAAAAAAAAAAAAAAAAAAAAAAAAAAAAAGGTGGCAATAGCCTGAGTGGAAGAATCTTATTTTAGTGCTCCATTAACAAACAAATCTGAAATTAATGTTTTCTTCCAAAGTGTACAGAATTTAGTGAAGAATCAAAGTACATACCCTTTTTTCACTTGGGAGCAGAGGAACGTTTCAGCTGGGAAATGAGTAACAAAAGTTGAGGAAGGTGTTCTAAAACTTAAAGTAGGGTTTATGTGCTTTTTAAAAAACATTCTGAAATATGTAACTTTAAATGTCTTTCAGGCTGATTATGCAACTTCTATTTAGTTTAGTAGTTGCTTTGTAATTTCAGACTGGAGGAGTTCAAAGTCCTGATGTTCCAAGAAAAGCTACGAGCACAGGAGCTTTGACATGAGTGCTTTAACATAGCTATTTTCCAGTAAAATGCCTCTGAAAGGGGTAGGAGAGCGGTTTATGTACCAGTAATTCTTCTACTTAGTATTTGCTTTTTATTAATGTTATGAGATAAACAAGACAAACTTAGGTTGTAAATGGTTTTTATTTTTGAGGTAATAGTTTTCAGAAATACACTGGAAGTGTACGCTCTTAAAGCAAAAGAGCTTTCTGGTTAAAGTCTAAAATCAGGTGGCTGTCATGTGAAAACCAGACTTAGCTAGCTTTCAGAGGTCTTTTTTTGTGGCTTCTATATTTCACACCCTCTCCAAGGATATTGCTCTGTCAGAGCCCAGGATCTAGACTGCAATTTGGTCTAATCTCCATCATGGTTCACATGCTGAATCAAAGCCTGAGGAACCTGGACAAGATCTGTATGCCTTACGATGGCATTACCTGTGCTGGAAGCAAGACCCTCCCAGTCTTCTCCATGAAGTTGTATCTCAGAGACTGGCTTTTTCTCGATAGAAATTTAACCCCCCAAAAACAAACAAAAAAAAACTCAACCAGTTTTTCTGCATGTAATTGATTTTTATTGGCTTACAAAATGTTTGACAAACACAACAAAAAACCCAACTCCTTAGAGTTAGTCATGTATAGGACTTGTCTATGTAGAAGTTGTTTTCTTTTATCTATTTTTCTTTTTCCACCATAACATAAATAGGGATAGCATAGGAATATAGCTCTCATGTTGGTAAGTGAGGGAGACTGGTTGGAAGCTAATCCATAAGTGCTTCTGTTGCACATATATACAGTGCTCACAGCTGGAGATTTTACAGTGATGAAATCTGTAAGATAAGGATCTATGTAAATGCTTGACATAAATGCACATCAAGACACTGTATGACTAGCTGTATGCTGTATTAGAATACAGTGCTAGCTACCCATCACTCTGAATCTGTTGACTTCTTGTTGCATACCCTACATCAGCCTCAAAACAAATTGGTCATTAAGTAAAGAATAGAAAGTACAATGAAATTCAAAAACATTGAAATCCTACAAAGTATCGCATTCTTTATGTGTGAGATACCACTGCTGTATTGGAAAGTAAACAAAGTTACTTCTGTTGCAGTTTTCAAAACAACTGTGTCCTGGAGATAACTGCTTTCATGTTAGGAAGCTAAGGCAGAATATATTCAAGATAGAGACAAAATTCACTGTTTTGTGATTGCTAACAAAAATGAGTGTTCAAAGGATACTTTAATATCTGTCATATCAGATGCTTTCCTCATCCTTACTTACGATACTGTTCTTACTGTTAGTTTTCATTGAAAAAAACAGAATACCTTTGAATGCAAGGGGAAATTATTATTCCCTCAGATATTCAGATAAAATCATCTGCGAAGAATGCTTTCTCTTTCATTCCTTGTTTTGTGTTTGTTGCTCAGAATTGTGTCTTAACTTCAAGAGTTTAAAATAAGATTCCATTGTTACAGATAGAAAATCTGGCAGTTTTACATGGAGGACTAAGGTGGATATAAACATGAAGGAATCACTTTTATTCAAAATAATCTCAAATAACTTTTGTAATAATTAGTAATACAAAGCACACTGAAAGAATAATGTTGTTAGTATCTGAGTTGATGTTGAATTTTTATAATTTTAATAATTTGCAGTTGTAACTCTGACTCTCGCTTACTTTTTCTGAGAAGATACTTGAGAGTTCTTTAGCCCATGTACTACAAGTCTTGCTGACTGTGGCTTTTGCTTGTGTTTGCAAGCATCAAATTCAAGGATTTGGTTTTGTGTTGTGTTGTGATGGGCAGCAAACAAAATGGTATTGGATCCTTAAATTGGGGAGGGACTATTTAGTGTACTTCCTGTGCTCCCCCCGGAATGCTTGCTTTACTGCTGTATTTAATGCTCTTGTTTTTATTTCCTTCTCTGGTTTTGATATTGTTCTGAAGAACACTGCTTCACATGCCAGGTATCACAAGGCATGGCTGTGCCAGAAGGTTTTTTTTCTTCTTTTTGTCCCTTCCCTTGCAGCTTGTACGATAGGGATTCGTAGGATCACACAGGTTGAAAGGGACTCTTGAGGGGTCATCTGGGCCAAACCCCTGCTCAAAACAAGGCCAGTGTAGAGCAGCTTGTTCAGGGCCTTGGCCAGTTGTTGTGCGTGTCACCAAAGATAGAGGTTCAAATTCTGATAAACCTTGGGGTTTAGGTGTTTTGTGGACAATATTCATGAGATATATCACCTGAATGTGAGCTGCAGTAACCTACATCTAATTAAGTCTTCTGAGTTCTTATCTGTTAATACTGATTTTTCTCTAAAGGACAGTTAGTTGTTGTACCTGGATGATAGTTATTTTCACCATGAGAAAGATTTTATAGTGTTTGGGTTTTTTTATCATAACACCTTTCAAATATATACTGCTTCTCATTGAGCAGTTTCTTTCATTCTTTTGTACTCCCCCCCCCCGTGTGTTTTAAAACACAAAGATAAGAAGTGTTTGTCTGGGGTGTGAGGTTTATCTGGACTACTAATGCCAAAGCACTATGGTGCCTGATGCCAAACCTGCTTTTTAAAACCAAGAGACTTCTTGGTGGTGATGGTGACAATTATATTTGTGCCAGAAGTTTGTTACTGCTGGCCTGAATGCTTGTACTCGGGTCTTCTGGTTCTGCATTGGAAGTTTGTCCTTACTGCCCCTTAATTTTCTTCCTGCACTTTCCTTGTATCATATTTACAGTTATCGATACCTCTCTCTGTTTAGGAGTGAGCATCTTTGCGTAGAAGCAGTTAAAATATTTTCATTATTCTAAACAGAAATGCTGCCTGAAGTTTTCAAAGGAGCATAAAAGTTGACCTTGCATCAGAATAATTAATTAGGTTCTAACATAAATTGTTGGGGTTTAGGGTGCAAATATGTAGACACAAAGATGCAAATTAGCCCTAAGGGCATCAATCCCTATAGACTTTTAATAGTAGATGGTACCATCAAGTCCTGGTTCTCAGTCTTTAAATGGTATAGTGCTACTTAAAGAGTCAAAGTAGGTTGGTTGTTTTTTTTTTCTTGAGGATTTAAAGCAGCAAACATTTTAATTAGTCTTTAAAAACCAGAAAGATGCAATTCAAAAGGCTTGACTCGAGCACAATCTGATGGGAGGCAGTCATGTAAACACACATGTACGTTAACTAGCAGTGTCTGTCTGTGGGCTGTCTTTGTCTTGTCTGAAGTTACTGAAAATATGTCAGCTCTGAGTGCATGTTAGTGTACCTTAAAATTCCTTGTCTCAAGAACGGAAGGGATCTCAAAGTCGTTTACAGACACTGTGGGATGTTGTTTTCTAAGTTAACCTGCCCTTTTGCTCTGGCATTCAATAAGCATGGGCGGAACTGCTAACATGAAGGCACATCACAGTGAAAAGCAGGTAAAAGTTCTGTGCTTCCTAGGCTAGGCAGGAAAAGTATGTGCCAGAATAGCCATCACCCTCTTCTCCCCATTATTACAAACTGTTAACAAATACAGGAAATGTACTTTGCTAAAAGCAGTGCAGTGTGGAGATCTACCATATTGTTCATGGTATATTTTGCTTCATTACTTGTCTCTCAAAGCATTTAACTCAATTTTTGGGTGATTTAGATTGTAGTTTTGAAGTGTACTTTTTTTTTTAGTATACTTTGTGTAGAAGACGCTTGACAAATCAGTGGTGTGTTTGTGTTCACTTGTGCAGTGGATCAGTGTTAAATGCTTTATGAAGCAAAAACTAATTCTGCATTTTAAGTTGGATTTTTTTTCTTGTAGAATCTTACTGCTTTTTCCATGATACAGTAGAACTTCAGTCACAAGTTTCAGTCCATTGCAGATGCTTACAAAAATGTAATAGGTAACTAATAACAACCTGTCATGAAGTTCTTAAGGACTTTTAAAAGTTGCATACTTTTTCATACAGTATTTTTTTTTCTTCTTGTAACACATCAAAAGACATAAACTTCATATGGGGAAAAAAATGCTAATTCCTAAAATTTCATAAAGATTTAAATTAGTGTGATTTGAAGTTCTGCTATGTAGTATATGCTTCATCTGTACTGGGAAATTAGTGTTTCAAGTTGACAAGTTCTTGGTCTTGCTCTTTTTTGACAATTTTGAAGGGAACGTTTCAGTTTTTTTGGCAAGTCTGGTTTTTAAAATCTTGTTATGGGGACACATCTGTGACTTTGCAATACAGTCCTTGAGAGAAAGCTCCATTCATGGGAGGTATGCACTTAGAGCGGAGGACTTAAAGCTGGGATTCCAGTGGTCTGGTTTTGGCTCTCAAAAATATTTGGCATGTGGTATTACTGAGTAGTATGTATTTTGGCTTTTGAAAGGTGCTGAACATATCCAGCTTCCATTGAGTTCAGAGATTTTGTTAAAATTTGGCCTACTGACTTTCTGTACTTACTTCATTAGTATATGAAGTTATTCATTACCTATTAAGAGGTCTGCCAGTTTGAAATACATAAATAAATATAATCTTTCATGCAGTTGTTTCCATGTTAGATGTATACAAAGATCAGTTTTCTTTAATGTGTAGTAACTGGTCACTCTATGGTCAAGCTCTGCTGTAATGTGGACTTTTTACCAACAATCATTATTTCTTGTGTGACTGGTGATTATTTCTTTTCAACCAACTGGTGGCTTACTTTGACATCACTTTCAACCTGTTCATACAGGTTTTGTTATTTGGAAATGCTAGTTCTTTTTAAATGAGCTTTATATAAAAGTATTTTTTAGAAGGTGAACTTGTGCTAGTGAAAGATGTCTGTCTGTGCTGGAGACTAAAGTTTCTGAAATACACTGATAATCCTTTATTATATAAAAAAGAACAGAGATGACCTCTGTCATGTAATCTGAAGAGAGAAATAAATGAGTAGGTCTCTAGGTAAAGTGATAAGAATTCTACAGTTCTATGGCAAGATCTCTTGCATCAAACACTCTGGTTTCAGGAATTCTTCAACCAAATTTAAAAAAGCATCTGTGTAAAAGTGCTGGCTTTTTTTTAATTTGTACAAAGTTACAATTCAGAAGATCAGTATTTTAAATATATTTGTAAATAAAGACATCAGAGTAAGGAAGGCAATTTCAACATCAGTTTTATAGTGCAGTGCAATAGTGCTTTTACTTAGAAAAGCTTAGACAATATGTAATATTTCTTTTCTCTTTTGAGCCCATGTTAGGTAAATGTTACGCAACTTGCAGATAAAATCACATCTTAAGATAATGCAACTATATGAGAGCAACAATGATTTAATAGAAAACACACTTTTGAGCAAATCATTTTGTTTTGCACCTGCACTTCAAATAGTGAAATTGCTGTCCTATGTTGTGTTGAGGTTGCAGAATTCAATTGTTCAGCTCAGCAAAAAGCCAACCCAGTCCTTCACCAGTTCAAAGACAAACTGTATTAATATAAAATAAAACATTCTCAGCTGCTTTTAAGTGCTATAAAAAAACCCAGATAGCTGAGATAACTGATATAGAGATGAGGAAAAGATAAAGCTCTAAGACCATTCAAAATAATCTATTGTTTGAGAGGAAAGTTCAGATCTGCTAAAATTGTTTGTATGAATGATGCCTCCTCTCTGAGGGTCTTGAATCTCTTTGCAAAAGCTGTTTAGGCAGCAGAAGTGGAAGAAGCACAGATGAAGAAGCGACACCAAAAGCTAGCTGGAATTGAGAACAGAACACTGATCTCCCAGTCCTCTTCTGGACACACAGTGGGCCTTGCTGTGTTTGTGCTCTTTCCTCTCTGAAAAGGAGTTTAAAATTTTATAATACTTTCACTGAGGATTACAAGATTTACTCCTTCTTTTATTTCCCTATTTTAAGGTGTCAAGAGGCAGCTAAAATGGAATGGTAGTGTTTTTTCTTTTTTTTCAAAGTTTATACTTTGAAGCCTAATGTAATTGAAAATGAAAACCATTGCAGTAGTGAGACCAACTTCAGTTTTGTTTTTTCCCTCTTTGGGATGGTCACTTCTTACACTTTTCCTTGCTTTCTCTTGAACTATCTACTGATCATGAAAATGTTTCTTTTTTCAATAAATTGGCAGGGAATGTTGTTATAGTAATCAGTGGTCAGGTTCCCAGATGAGTGTAGATTTATCTCTCTCTCTCTATATATATAGGTAGATAGATATATCTATCTCACAGAAAAGCGATGATGATATGCAGGAAGAAAAAAAAATTATAGCATGGATTTTAACAACTTTATTGAGTAATGTATTAAGGCGTTACTACATCCAAGTTGGAATACTGTCAAATTCTATGTTTATATACAGGAACTTGACGAGAGGAGTTGGTAGATTTAGAGAGTTACTAAGAGCTGTTGAAACAAGAACTACGCAAAATCTGCGAATGGTAAGTTATATTAAACCACATTCCTATTGCAGCATCTGAATTTTAGTAGGCAGGTAAAGCGTAAATATATTGGCTGAGTTAGAGACAAATAATCAGATACACAGCATATTGATCAGGATCTGTTATCTACCGCTTTATAAGGTTACATTTCCTAGCTTAAGTGAATGATTAAAATAAAAAGGAATGTTTGATACCCAGTCTCTCCCCTATTTCTCTTTCCTGTTTGTGGTTATGATTAAAACCTGATTGGTCTCTGACTGACCATACTTTCAACCTTAATCATAATTGCCCTCTTTTATGACTTACCGTAGTTACACAAGGGTGTCTTTTCATGTTTTTTGTAAGGTAATGGGAGTGAGGATAGAGAGCAGAATCTTTCAATGTGTTCTATTAAGTTGGAAGTTATCAAGTTATTTCTTTATTTTTGTAATAAAACCTCTTAAAGGAAAACAATAAAAGCAAAACCGTGAAAATTTGTTATTTATATTATCAAAAAATAAACCTTTACCAAAAGAGCGATGTATCTTTTTTGCATCTTCTATACAGTAAAAGGCCAAGGCTTACATCTTTTGCTCTAATGTAATGATTTTCAAAATGTCCTAGATTAGTTTCCAAATATTAGGCCTTTAAAACTCCAGAGTAGTAATAGGGACGGTAACTGGTTTTCTTAATTCATTTAATGACTGATTCCTAGTAAGGATATTAAAATTATTAAAAACCAGACTTTCAAAGGAGAGGGATAGTATTGCAAACTTTAATAGAATAGGAGATGAAGGGCTTCTTGGGGTGTAGGAATTAAGGTGAAAGATGCAGATCATACGGTGCTGTCCGTGGCTTAAACATTACACATCTGTTGCTGGGAAATGTTGCTGGGAAATACTGCCAATTCTGATGCAAGTGTAGATCTTGCCTTCTTTCCTGCCCTGGAACTAATCTCTGAGTTTTCATCATCATGCTATGTAGTCATGCAGCTTGTATACTTATGTATTAAACATTAAAGAGGAGATTAACCTGATAGTTATGGATTATGGGATGACTTCAAAGCTTTAAATTAATATTATTTACTTAAATAATATAATATTTATGTAAGTATTTCTACACTTAAATATATTGTGCCAAAAATAGCTGGTCAAAATAAACTTTTTCATGCTGATCTACAACCTCATTATGCTCTTGCTGAGCCTTACTAACAGTAGCAAACACCAGCACCTTCAAGTACAAGTTGTCAGAAGCCCCAGTCAGTTGGGGCTTGGACTGTAACTGTCTGTGGTGGGTTGACCTTGGCTGGCTGTCAGATATCCACCCAGCTGCACTCTCGCTCCCCTTCCTTAACATGATGGGGAGAAAATAAGGTAGAAAAGCCTGTGGGTTGAGGGTAAAGACAGGGCGTTTGCTTACCAGTTACTGTCACGGGCAAAACAAACTCAACTTGGGGGAAATTAATTTATTGTCAATTAAAAGAGAGTAGGATGGTGAGAAACAAAGAGAAAAACTAGAACACCTTCACGCCACCCCCTTTCCTCAGGTTCAACTTCAGTCCTTCATTCTTGAGTCTTTGACCTCCTCTCCCTACCCTCGCACTCGCTGAGTGATGCATGGGGGGTGGAGGGTTGTAGTGAGTCCATAACAGTTCCTCTCTGCTGCTCCTTACTCCTCATGCTTTTGCCTCGCTCCAGTGTGGGATCCCTCCCATGGGCTGCAGTTCTTTGAGGGAGTATCAACGTGCTCCGCCATGGTCCTCTCAGCAGGCTGCAGTGTGGACATCTGCCCCGCTGTGGTCCTCTGCATGGACCATAGAGAAGTATCTGCTCCACTGTGGTCTCTCCCACAGAAACATTTGCTCCAGGCCTGGAGAGGCAGTAGAGGTTACTGAGCACAAAATATCTGAATGTGCTCCTGGATGTGCTCCACTCTTAGGAGCAACAGTTGGTGTTGTTGATACTTCAGAAATATCTGGATTTAACTGATAAAATTGAAAAATTGTTCATTATTGCCATTTCTTTTCTTTGTGTTTAGAGAATTGAACTGGGTACTTGTACCTTTCAAACAGCAGTATGCTTGGTTTTTTGGATGTTTTAAAATAACAGAAAATATAGTCTACGTGATTAGTCTTCATTAAAAATAATCCAAGCATTTTTGAAGATTTTGTGCTCAGCATTTCTAAGGAAAATATTTGTCTTTCACTTTTACAGACGATAGCAAGACAACTGGCTGAAATTTTGTTACGAGGCATGTGTGAACAGAGTTATTGGAATCCACTGGAAGATCCTCCTCACCAATCACCCCTAGATGATCCACTTCGAAAAGGTTCAAATACTAAGAATTACGCGCTCAGTAGAAGACCGCGGGTATACACTGGAGAAAAGTATGGCTGAGTTTATAACTCTCTTCTTTCTATAATTGCAATTGTTACCCGGTGCACTGGGTAATTTAGTTTATATTTTTGAAAATGTAGAAGGAATTGGGCAATGTGAATGAGAGTGTTTCCCATGCTGTGTGTGTGTATATATATATATATATATTCCCTGAAGAGAACTAGGGAAGCAACATGATTCTCCAAGCAGAAGTTTGCACTGTATGCATGAGACCTTTTGTTCTCAATTCTCAATATTTTTTTCTTTTACTCTATACTGGGATATGTGGTAGAGTCAATATCTCTTCTTATACCTGGGATACAAAAGAAAACACAAACTGGGTGGCAAGTCTGAGATTGCACATTTTAAAAGTTGTGGGCTGTTTCTAGACCTCTGTTCTGCTTTATCATAGAAAGGAAAGAGTTAGCAATATGGAGATTCAAATTCATCCCTGAAACATCGTAAGAAACCAAAACATATCTAGCAATTTATCTAGCAGTTTCAAAGGTAGTTTATTTCCCAAGGCAGCTACGTTTTAATCTTCTTTGGTTAGTTTTGGCATATACAATGGTTAATTCTAGAGTAGCTTTGGCGTGTGTCGCTTCCTTCTTGAAAATGTGTGGCTTTTTTCAGAACCGATCACAATTAGTATTAGTATTAATATTTATTAGTATTAAATGTGGGTAGCTATTTCCTTGAATTTGAACTTTTTTCTTAAAAGTTAATAGCTTGTTGTTTATTTGTATCTGATGAAATGAAACATGGTTTCTAAGATAAAGTTGTTTTCCTTAGACACACTCTGACAGTGCCTAAAATATATGACAAAATTTTGCACTTTATTACAGTCCTTGTGGGTTGCTTGCTGCCTGAAAGTAACATGCTTGTGTCAAAGCATATTGTTGAAATCTTAACCACTTGGCTGCATCTTTTTAAATTTATTTTTTATGCTAGTGGCACTAAGTTTGATCTGGTGAAACTTTGTTGCATGCTTGTTTTACATAATCTGCAACCTTTGCACTGCTCTACTTGTATTCTAAATGCAAGTCCTTGAGGGATCTTGTATTTTGTATACATATATATATTTAATATAGTCAACAACTATTGCTTGCTTGTTTTGATACATGCTGGAAAGCACTGTGAGCCAGAGAACTGAGAAATAGATTGTTACAGTGGAGATAATGATCTAGCTGAGACTGTGATTTGCTGTAGTAAAGTAGTAGTTTGCTGTAAGTAGTAGTTTGCTGTAGTGCTAAATAATGCAGATGAAGAAGATTGAAATTGCATTTAAACTTAAGAAAAAAATTTTACGGAAGAGGTTTTAGAGTCTGGAGAATATCACTGGAGTTATTCAAAATCCAACTGGACGTAGTCCAGGGCAGCCTGCTAGTTGACCCTGCTTTGAGTGGAGGGGCTGTACTTAGACGATCCTCAGACACCCCCTCCAACCTCAACTATTCTGTGATTCTGTGAAATCGTTGTGATCTGGGAATCTCTTTTGAGGAGACTGTTGTCTGTTCCATATGAAATTGTTGACACTTTTTTCCCAAATAATTTCTTTTTTCTTTTTAATATTGTTGTCTAGCTGGATTAAAACCAAGGCGTTGTGAGTTTTTTAATTTCACTGTTGTCTGATTATGTCTAGGGTGTGAAGTCATTAAAAAGCAGTCTTTTGAGCTTTAGGAAAAGATGCAGGCATAGACTTGAACATTCAATTTGCCAAAACAACTACTGTGTTTCTCTGCAAGTACACTATTAACAAACTGTACATGCAGGCAACCTTTTTGGTAAAAAGGAAATACCAGGTTTGCGGATATACATTGATCCCTGCACTTCAAAAGTATGCATTTATTGCCCAAACACAAGAAAGTCTCTGTTACGCAGTCACCCATTTTCTCAGTCAAACTATTTGGTTTCACACAGCAAATCCTAAAGAACAGTCTTTTCCTCTCTTACAGTATATATGCCTTGTTGGTTAATATGAAAGCTTTTTTCCATAATGTGACCTTGTTATGTGCAAAAGAATCTGCTTCTGTGGTAGATTGCTTATAGAAGTAGTCCTACCTTAAGTTCTGAAGAGATGTTTTGGTTTAGTGTTCACAGTATCTTTATATTGTAATGTAAAATACTGTCATACTTCAGGCATTTGAGTTGTTTAGCTGCATTTGTTGCAGATTTCCATTCATGAATACTTTACACAGCAGCGAGCCCATGTAATTGTGGTGTCATTATTACTAGCAAGTAGAATGGCCTTATCTTCAAAGATTTCTAGCAATTCTCCTTCCTTGATCCAGAATACTTATAGCAGGTTTCTCAGGCTCAGTCTTTCAAACTTATGTTCTTCATTCTCAACTCATGCTTTTGTAGAAACATGCCTCCTGGCAAAAGTGGGGCTTTGTTCAGTGTAATTTTCTTGTTCTTGGGACATGCAAGTTATGAGTTCCACGATTTCAACAGAGCATGTAATTAAGTCCTTTTCTTTTGGCACGTCAGAGTCATTAATACCAGATCAGATAAAACATGTCTAGCCAAGTATCTCATCTCCAGCAGTGATTGAAAGTAGGTACCTAAGACAATGAATAGCAAGACAGATACGTAGGAAAATTCTTCCTAGGTATTCATCTGACCACCAACTCTGAGTCTGATACGTACTATTTTTTTTTAAATATCTTGCCTGATATATTAAGTAACTGCATTGTGTTCTTCTGAGGATGGTGAAAGTGATTTGGTTAATACCATTTATGATTTTGTAGATCTCTGTGTTACTGCCTCCTCAGTTTTCGGTATCCTCAGTTGAAGAACTGTTTAACTTCTTGGTTGGCCTTTGGTTAGTAGCCATTTCATGCTTCCAGTTGCCTGTTTTGCTCTGCCCTGTTGCCTTGGAATTACTTTACTCATATGCTTGCAACTGTCAGAAGACACAGAAAGTGTCTGAGTTCAGTCAACTAAACTGAGCTTTTTGCATACACACGTCAAAGAATTTTCCCAGTAATTTCTGCATGAAGAGGATCTTCACTGTTTGAGACAAACATCAACTTATTTACCAAAATATATTCAAAGCTGTAGGAGAAAATAATGTTTGCTTTCATTTTGATAAGTGACTTTTTAGTAGTCCTCTTTGGAGCAACTTCACTTTGTTCTCTGAGAAAGTAATTTCTCTAGCAACTATTTCCAGTCGTTATTCTGCTTTCTGTAAACCATTGCCAGTCGGTCAGGTTAAATCTACTTCCAGGTTGCTAAATTCTGCATTGAAGACTGGATAGGTAAATGGGGAGCTCCCTGATGCTTTCTTTTCACTCCTCATTCCCTTCTCGGGGTGGTTCTTATTCATGAGTAACTGTGTTTTGAAATTTCTTTGTTATGTAAAAATAAAAGTGTCTTCTGAGATTAAGAACACTCTTCAAAATCTGGTAAGCAACTTGCATTGATTAAAAAATAAAAATCCAACAACAAAACAACTTCCCTGGGGTCTTAGCTGCTGTGTACTACCACAATACGTTCGCAATGTTGCTTTCCAAACTGCCTGGAGTTCAGAAGTGTTTTAGTTTCCATTTCCTTTCAGGCTTTTAATTACTGCTCAAATTTCTAGTGCATTTAAAAAAACCCAAAAGATGTTTTAATATCAGACAAGTTTGGTTTCCTGTCTGCAATTTATTGTAGTTTAAGCACCCTTGGGACAATAGGAATTGCTTATTAACAACAAGAAATTATTTTCTACACTTAAACAGTTAATTGTGGAACTATTGGTCTGAATTAACAGGAAATAGTACTTGTGGTAATCCAGAAACAGTTGTTTAGAGAAAGAAATCTGAAGAGTTAAAACATAGTCACTGGTTGGGGTTTTTTTTTGTGTGTGTGTGTGAGAGAGAGAGAATGAATGAATGAATTCCTACCAGTCATGTACCCAATGCAGATTACTGTTGTCTGTCCACCAGCATAGAAAAGTATTCAGAAAGCATCCAGTGTTCAGAGAAAGCAGGAAAGATTGCCAACTAGTCCTATGCAAACCTTCAGTATTAAGTCATAAGGAAGTTTACTTCATTAAAACCAAAATATTTTAACTGCTTGGAAGTAACAGCGGTTATGGCAAGCAGGCAGAGATTGCCATGGCTCTGTTAAAAATACTCCCAGCTATTGATTGCATCAGGAAAACAATTCTCAAGCGTATCTGATGAAAGACTAATAGAATTATTTATCCACATATTGCCTAAAATACAAAAGTTATCTTGTTCTTGTGAGAGAGTTTCTTGTTGCCAACCTTTGAATCAGTGATGGTGATGTAGATTCAGCTCAGATCGATTAGGTGCCAGAGGCTAGTAAAACTATGGGTACAGTTTTTATGGTTGTCAAATTATGTGCAATTTTGGGATATTTGAATGTGTTCAACTCTGACAGCTGTGGTGGTTTTGTTCTCTTACTGTGTTTGGCCAACTTTCCTGAAATGCAAATTTAGAGCATTGCAAAGAAATGCATTTTAACCAATTGTTTTTTCTATGCAAGTTACTCTCTGTTCTGGAAATTTTCAAGTTTTTACAGTACTCTTACTATATTTGTGTAAGCTACTCCTAAAAATAATGTGTTCTGCTTAAATAATTAAATTCTCATTTTGAACAGCATCTTTTGTCCTCAAGAAAATACAGAAGAAGCCTTACTGTTGCTGCTTATTAGTGAATCTATGGTAGGTAAAATAGAGTGAATGTGTGTATGCTGTAAGTGTGTGTTTTCCTTGTTTTTTTTAAAATGAAAATAGAACTTTTTTTGTCATGCCTTACTTTGACTTGTGTTTCATTTTCTGTTAGGAAGGCAGGCAGTTACTTCTGAAATGCAAGCTTCTGTTCCTGTGAGCCAGCAAGATGAGGTCTGCAAGTGTTATGAATAGGAGTTTTTCTCCTTTAGAGTGGCTGAACCTAGCTTTCTTCTAACCATAGGCAGGTGAACACAAAGCCAGGTCTTTCATTTGGCATCACTTATCAGTATGAACCACTGTTACACGAGCTTGTTGCCATTCAGACAGACTCAAAATGTAAGTTATTTTTGTTGTAAAAACCAAATCAAAGACTACTAGATGAGCATAATAAACATAGCCAAAAAATACTTTCCATTGTGAATTAAACCTCAAATATCATTGAAAATTGTAAATGATTTTTAATGATACCGGCATTCAGCCTTTGCTACTGGATATTTTTTTTCTTTTGTTTTTTAGTGTCCTCATTTCATCAATAGGTGATTCTTTTCAATGGCCTACTTGTGCCTTTTGTTAGCCTTTCATATTTTCCTCTAGTATGATTTTACTAGTCATCTATTAACTGCCACATACTGACATTCTCATACCAGGTCAGTTCTATGTTCTCAGATGGCAGAAATGAAAAGCTGAAGCTGGAATTTTGCTGTTTTTCTAACTGGAAGGGTGGAACCTCTAGAATCTGAGGCATCATATAGTAGTCTGTCTCACCGCACATCAATGAGACTTAGTCTCTTAAGTTCTATAGGTGATTCAAATGATTTCATGCTCTGGCATAATTTCTGTTTTGATACAGTTAAATAGGATCAGAACGTTTTAGGGAACATTGTCCTATTTGAACTATTTTAAAGTGGCAAATATTTACATTGTAGGGTGGACTACTTTCCTTATTCCTAGTGATCTGCCTTGCAATGTTCATGACAGAATCTGTCACCAGAAAACTAGACTGAGGAAACATTTCCATATATCATGTTGGTTTTGCTGCAGTACATACTTACCACTGAAAGGGACCGCCTGTGCCTGTGTAAGGTGCCTGAGCAGCTCATGGAGAGACACACAATTCTGATGTGAACTGTGGTCATGGTGTGAAGTGGAAGCAGTCTCAGTTCTGCAGGATCTGACTACTGATTACTGTATTTGCATGTGTACTTCCTTGCATATCAGTGTTAAGAAGCCAAAAAACAAAGTACTGCCCTGTTAAGTCTCGTTTCAGGTTACTTACAGCTTTTCCTTTGTGAATTAGGTCTGCCTAATTACATGAAATGCTTGTCACTGTAGAGCATATACCTTTAGCAAGCTTTCAATACTTTTTTTCTTTACAAGTAATTATTGCAGGTTATCTGAGGCAAAAGAGTGTATTTCGGGGGAGTATAAAATCTTTCACGATTGACTTACTTTGGCTAAGTCATTTGTTCAAATTAGTTTTGGAGGAGGGAAGGGGGAAGATTGAGCATAAAAATATACATCACTACAAACTTCTCTTTCTGAGAGTTGAGAGCTGTTACTTCAGCTTCAGTGCATGCTAACTTTCTATCTGTAGTAGTTATGAAGTAGTATGTGATTTACAATTTTGAAACCAGTATTTGGGAAAGAAATAAGAACAGTTACAGAAGATTGAGTAATCATTGCTGTTTTGAGATGGTGTTGTTTTATTATAGTAGTATGATCCTTTCCTTGCATTGTCTATGAATTAGTAAAAACACAGATAAGGTGTCAAGACTTCTGTCCTCAAGAACTTAGTCAAGTAAATATTGAAAAATAGAATGAGGATCTGACATATAAGTAGCATTTTGTGTAAGTAAAAGTAATCAAATCACTGTGTATATACAAGCCCTAAATTGTACTGCTAGTTTCAGGGAAGTGGTGCACTCTAACATCATAACTTCTTATTTGTATTAGATCTAGTGCAACCTATATCCAGAAAATTGAATCTTGCTAGTGGATTAGAAATGCTACTTTTGTGTCACCTTGAGTTCCCTTAATTTCTGAATTCAGAAAGGATGCTTTGAGTAAGATTTAAATTATAATATTTATGAAAGAAATGCTTTGGGAAAGATAGTTGTGTGCTTTTCAAGTGTTCTAATTCTCTTATAGGTACATTTCAGAGTACAAAATGTCTCTTTTAGCCTCATGACTGCTGCTACAGTGTATTGTCATGCCTAATGAGGAAAGTCAGCTGCAACTCTGCCATCACTCTTACTGTAAGATGTCCTTGTATTCTAGCTGTTACAGTTGTGAAGTATAGACCAGCCTTTCCTTACCTAGGCAGGAACGAGTAGAAAGGTGGGATCTGAAGGACTGACATCTTCATGTTACAGTATGTGTACATGTTGCTGCCTGTCAGCTGAGCTGCAGTAACAGAATGACTAAGATTGGAAGAGACTTCTGGAGGTCATTTTGTCCAATCCCCCTGCTCAAGCAGGGCCACCTGGAGCAGGCTGCATCTGTGTTCAGGTGCCTTTTGAATATCTCCAAGGTCAGAGACTCCACAGCCTTCCTGGGAAACCTCTGCCAGTGCTCAGTCACCCTCACAGTAAAAAAAGTGTTTCCTGATGTTCCCTCTGTGTTTCAGTTTGTGCCCATTACCTCTGGTGCTGTCACTGGGCACCACTGAAAAGAGCCTGGCTCCATCTTCTTTGTAGCCTTCCTTCAGGTACACATTGATAAGGTTTTCCCCCTGAGCATTATCTTCTCCAGGCTGAAGAGTCCCAGCTCTCTCAGCCTTTCCTCGCAGAAGAGACACTCCAGTCCCTTATTCATCCCAGTGGTCATTTGCTGGACTATCTCCAGTAGCTCTATATCTCTGTTGTACTGGGGAGCCCAGAATTGGACCCAGTGCTGCAGGTGTGGCCTCACCAGTGCTGAATAGAAGGGATGGATTGCCTCCTTTGACCTGCTGGCAATGTTCCTGCTCATGCAGCCCAGGATACCACTAGCCTTCTTTCCAGCAAGGGCACATTGCTGGCTTCTGTTCAACTTGTTGTCCACCAGGACCCCTAGGTCCTTTTCTGCCAAGCTGCTTTCTAGCCTGGTGGCCCCCAGCATGTACTGGTGCCTGGGGTTGTTCTTTCCCAGGTGGAGGACTTTGCACTTCCAAGTCTTTGTTGAGGCCTTTGATGAGGTTCCTGTCAGCTCATTCATCCAGCCTGTTGAGGTCCCTCTGGATGGCAGCATAGCCCTTTGGCGTATCAAATTCCTCCTTCTAGTTCTGTATCATCAGCAAACTTGCTGAGGGTACTCTGCCCCATCATCCAGATCATTAATGAAGATTTTGAACAGGGCCAGGCCCAGTATCGATCTCTGGGGTACACTGCTAGTTGCTGGCCTCCAGCTGGACTTCGTTTCACTGATCACCACCTCCTTGGCTAAGCCTCATGTGTTATTCCTAGCTGATGGTAAAATGGCTGAGCATATCCTTTTTTCCACTGTGGGTGAACTAAGTTATACTGCTTGCCTTTGCCTCAGGCTCAAAGGGTAAGCGTGGCCAACTGACACATTGCAGTTTAACTAATAGTCACTTTATTACATCTGAGACTGTGGCAGTTCTGAAATACCGAGCACTTAAGTTTGTATGTACATTCTGTTTTATAATTACGCAGAAAATGTTTGTTCAAATATTTAAGATATCTTTAATACCTACAAGGCATCCTCTCCTATAATACTACTTTGGCATTGTCAGCCATTTTTTCACAAGAAGTGCTAGTGCATAGATTGTTCTATACTTGCAAGGAATTGAGTCAAATAGCAATTAAATGTGAAGTTAAAAAGGAAGAAGTTCTTGAAGCTGACTAAATATTTATGCAGTGTAGAAAGCAGAAGCCAAAGATGTCTTGATCAAAAGAAAGCAAAATTGTCTCTTTTGGGGTGTGTGTGCAGGGACGTGTGTTTTCAAACCAAGCTGTGGATTATTCAGTTGATAATTCCTGAAATGTCTGTACATTTTACGCTCTATGTATCTCTTTGAAAATTTATTTCAGTATTTAATTATTCTGATTTTAAAAATGTATTGAGTATGTTCAGAGCTTAAAATGTTACCCTTTTAAAGCAGAGAAACAATTTATTATCCCTTGATGTGTGTCACTCCTCACCTCTGAAAAAGGGGGAAATAAGCTGCCCATTAAAATTCAGTGTATATAAGTAAATGTATTAAGGGGGCCATGCCCAGTGTAATAAAAAAAAAGAAAAGGAAGAGAGGGAGGAGAAGAGAGAAGGATCTTTAACTTCTGACTTCAAACTACCAGCTATACTAGCATCTGTACCAATGGGAATATTAAACATCAAGAAATCTAGAAATAGATAAGATATCAAGATAAGGTATAAGCTTGAAAGTGTAGTGGGAGAAGTACTGGGTAGTTCAATACAGGTAGTCTTAGCTACTGGGAGACCTGAATTTTATCCTTAGCTCTTTAACAAGATTTCTCTGTGAACATGGTCGATTCATTTAATGCAGTTCTAGCTCAGCTGTCTTCCTTCTTGAAAGAAAAAGTTTAATTACGGAATTAGGTTTGCAATGTGCCTTTCACAAAACAGTATTGAAAGTATAAAGCCTTATTGCAAACATGGCCTGATTCCAAACCTGTGCTCAGAACCAGGGACAGTTTTTTACTTCTCACTAGTAACTCCTGAAGGTGATTTTGTGGTTATCCTGGGCTGGTTACCAATCATAAGTGAGAGGATAGTGTCATAATGTTATGAAGAGAAAAGAAATTGATTGCCTTATTTTACAAAAGCTGAAATAGAGGATTTGAAGATCCTTCTAATATGTTTTACTAGCATACAAAAAATTAAGTTAAATCTTAGAAGACGAATATACATTATATTAAAAACCCCCTTATTTGGTTTCTAAGAACTCTTCAATAATTTTAAATACATTACCTAATTTATGTAGTTTGAATCAAGTAATTAAAATCAAGTAATTAAAAATAGATCCATATAGAAACATAAATCTTGCCACTAACATACAAAATTGGTGATTCTTGCTGTCTATAAATTAGTAGCAGATACTGTCTCTGTATCACCTATATCAACTGCTGACTGTCAGTCTGAATAAAATGGTAGTTACTTGAGCAAAAATACAAGTTGGATTACAATGCTTTACTTTGTTTCTTTTTTCGTGGCATGTTTCAGGCTAACCGTGATGCTGTACTGAGCAGAATACCAGAACACAAAAATGATCGTATCATCAGTTTGCAAAGTGCATCTGTAGTCTACGATTTACTTACTATAGCCTTGGGAAGAAGAGGCCAATATGAAATGCTCTCAGAGGTTTGTTGATAATAGTGAATATTCAACTGTGTCTTCACTGCTTATTTCTGTTAATCATGTTAATTGTGATAGTACTTAAGGGCTAAGCAAATATAGGACACTGTCATTCTGACTACTGTATAAATACAGTAGGTAGTTTCCACCCCAGAAAGTTTACTGTCTAAAATTATACAAGTGACTTGAGGTGGTCAAGCACAGAAATTGTGTGAAAGGTGTGGTAGATGTTTAATGGCATAGAAATTCAGACGGTCTTTAGGCAGGGAGGCATGGATCTGCTTAAAAGGATACACATTAAATGGAGACAGGAGGAAGGAACGGCAAAAGATAAAAGCTGTTGTGAATATCAATGATAAATATAAATACCTAGAAAAAGGATTTGTGATATTTTATTTCAAAAGAAAACTTTCTTTTACACCTGATAATATTTGTAGTGCTCCAAAGTCCTCATAGTTTGTAAAAATGGCTTTGAAGTTAATAAAATGAAAATGTATTACTTTTTCAGGTCTGTAGGAAAGTGCGTTCTCTGTCTCAAATGTCTTGTGTTTTATTATGCAACTTGAATGTGTTTTGTTAGATTGTGGCAACTTCTTCAGGAAATTTTCATGTATCATTAACAGTTTTATATCTGAGAAGCAACTACAGCTCTCTGGGCAGAGCAGAGCTTTCTGCTGATCAAAACGGTGCTCACCCAGCAGCAGGATACTGTTGCTGACCACTGTTAATTATTGGTATCCAGAAGGAATACTTCAGCATGTGTGGTAGGAAGGCATATCCATATCCAGGGGTTAATTTGCTGAGAAATGGTTTCTCTCTACCATAATAGAGGACTCTTATGACACCACCACCCCACCCCCCCTAGTTCTTCTCTGGATATGTTATGTTGATAGTCACCCTTTAACCTGCATCTCCTGTGATGTTAAGCTCTGAATTTGGGTATTCTTCTTGAAAGTACTTCATAGCTGCAAGTTATGCATACAAGTCAGTTTTAATCAGTCCAATAGAAAGTCTTTCACAAAACTAAAGAGTATGAAAGGTTGTACAGGACTGTCATCCTACAACATAATCTAATCAGGAATATTTCCATTTACTTGCCACTACAGACACTATGACCTTCATGGAAGTCACCTTTAGGCGATTATACCAAAGCTGCAAGAGATAACTCTCCATATATTTTAGTCTAGAACTTTTTAAAGGATAGAAATCGACAGGTACTGTAAAAAAAAAAAAACCACAAAAAAACGAAAAAATCCCCCCCAAAAACCAAAACACTTGAAAAGGTAACTGATTTCTTTTTTCTTTAAGCAGCTGGCAACCTTTCCTTTCTATATACTAAACCTAGCAATGAGGCAGGGGTAGTGTAGCCCTAGGTTCCAATTCTGATTCTTTTATTTTGTCTGTGGTGTCGTGATGGGGGTTTTTTTGTTGTGTTTTTTTTGTCTGTTTTCAAATGTTAAACAACCATTATATTAATGGGAACATCACAGGTTCCTGGGATTCCTCCACTGTCTCCTTTGGGACACTTTGGGCAGCATTTATGTCACAATAGATGCAACTTCATGTTCGCAATTCTTCTTGCCTTTCTTAATAGAGAAGTTTTTTGGCTTCACCAGGAAAGCTAGAGGTATCTCTGTTCTTCGCCATGTATCTTGAAGTCTAGGACATTACCCTGAAGGGTAGGAGGAAAGTCTTATAGTCCCCTCCCATGGAGAAGAGCATAGAGCTTGCTTCCCTCACTGCTTGTGTGATTCGTTTAGCCCCTGTAGCTGACAGACAAGCACCACTGCCTGTTCCTTTTCCTTCTGTGTTTTGAGCACAGTTGAATGTTCTGATGGAAGGTGTTTTAACTTGACTTAGATCTTTGGTTTCAGTGCCTTTTAGAAGCTGCTTGTGCTGGTGGTGATCTTGGTTACAGACAAAAGCAGAACCACGAGTATCTGGAAAGTTAAAGAGCCTCCATGTTTGACCAGCTTCTTAGTTGAGGGTTTTTAGCCATTGCCTTGGGCTTTGACACCTGAAGTCTACCTAACGCTTGTTTTAAGGTCTTTTTGTGTTCTTTTTTAATCTGGGTCTAGCATCTTTGTAGTTATATTCCATCAAAATTGTATGTATATTCTTTTGAAATGTTCTCTTTGAAAAATAGAAAATAATTCTTATATGTTTGAAAAATGCTTTTCAATACAGAATAATTAAAATGTATTTATTATATGTCCATGAAGTATCTATTCTGAATATCAAAAAATCATCTTATGAAGACCTGGTATAATAGATGATACTTATTTTAGGATACGGATACTCTAGACAAACAGCTGCAGCAGGAGCTTATCAGGAAATGGTTAGAACATCTCGTTTGTTCCAGTTCTTCTCATGCAAAGCACAGTGGAAAACATAGACTTCAAGAAGCTCTTACAGTTTAGTGAGTGGTTAGAGGATATCTTCCCTCAAACCCTGTGGCCCGTAGTCTGAAGCTTTTATAATTTAAAGTAGTACAATAAACACAAATTCAGAAATGTAAAAACATTCTGTTCAGTTATGTCATAGGCATATAATTTTTTGCTGGCTTCATTCTCTGTGAGCTAATTATGATTGCACTAGTGGAGCTGTTATAGGTTCAAGTCAGAAAGCACCATTATTCTAACCGTGGAAGTGGTATTCACACACCAGTTCCAGTATCTTGTTATCATCTTCTGGTTTAGCTATAGCTGATTACTTACAGAAGTAGTTAGCTGTGATATAAGAACATTAAATGATCAAAGATCTGTTTCATCCTTGTTAAACTGTTCTAATGCTCAGTCATGTTCTTAATTGAAAAGGTCTCATTTCTTTATGGAGTTTGTATACAATGGGCTTTCAGTTTCTTATGGCTTCTTCAACTAGATGAAAGAACTTTCTACTGTCATAATTCTTTCCTAAACAAAAGTACTCTTGACTGTCATCAAGTCGGTTTTTAAGCTTTTTAGGATATGACATATTGAGCTTATCAATGACCTACTAGGAGAGATGTTTTCCATCAGAAATTTTCCTAGATACTTGTCTTTAAGTCTCTAACTTCAAGCATGTTCTTTTCAGGAGGAGACCATAGTGCTAAGCAACAAAATTCAGTAATGCGTTTAACATTACCTGTTCATACAGTGATGATTTATGAGGCAGTACCAACAGGTGCATTTCTGCCTTTCAGGAGAGGGATTGTGCTGAATGTGTTCTCAATTAGTTAAGTCAGTTGCCATTATCCTGAACATTATCTCAACTTGCAGTTTTCCAGGGTACTATTGCTTGTTATGTATCTCTCATTGATTTCTTGATGGAACCTGTTGCTCTTTGAAATTACTTTTTGTTATTTGGTTCAGAAGAACCCAGTTTATCTGGTGTTCATGTTGTTGTGTACGTCACATACGTATATATGCACGTAGATCCCTTTACTCCACACATGCTAACCACCAATCTTGTGATCTTATGAAGAAAAAAAATCGTGTAATTTGTCACATTTCATACTGAACGAAGCCAAGGAAAAAGAACGGTAAATAGATCATTAGTATGTTGAAACTCAATGTAGAATAATCTACAGTTGTGTCCTGTGTTCCCATAATTACAAAATTATCAAAAACTACCTTATACACATATGCACGTGCATTAATTATATGAAGGTACTTGTTTACAATTAGAAAAATAAAACCCTTATTTTCTAGGCCTTGCTTAATTAAAAATTAATTGCCAATTCTAACTGGAAGAAAATAAAGAAGTTGGAGAAGTTGATAGGAAAAATTCTAGCATACATTACTTATATGTAGCAAATAATGCACTTCTTGTATTTGTTTTGTTTCATCCTCAGTGCTGTTCTTTGCTTCAGGTTCTGTTAAAGTGTGGGAACATGCTACACCTGGCTGTGCTTTCTGTAATGTTAAGGCTGAGTTTGAATATGAAAAATAATTTGTGGTATTACAGTTCAGCATCTACATTGTAGCTGTCAGAGCAGAAAAGCTGCTTCATGAGATTGGAATCTGCAGACTAGAAAGTTAATTGCTAAATCAGTTTAATCCAGAAAAGTGTTGCACCTTTTGAGTCTCTGGAGCTCGCCTGATTAGTAAAAATGAGCATAGTGAAATGAAATATTTCTTATTGACAACAGCAGATATGAAACCTTCAAAATTAGTGTATAATGCTAATTTAATATATTTAATCTCAGTATAGTAATAATGAATTTCCTTTTGGCATTCAGCTATTAAGTTGAAAATTTCAGCAAAATATTGAGTATGAATTTAAAATTCTTAAAATTAGAAATAATGCTGTCAGGTGAACCTTTACCACCCCCTCGCCCCCCCTTTAAGTGGTACTGATAACTACTTGTGGTGCCATTGCTTGTTCCCAATTTGGGAAGAGTGTGTGTACAATTTTCCTTTTCACTTAAGACTTATCTCCTGCCTTTTGCAGCTGGTGCCTTCAGTAAGCTGATATTTATCATTCCTTCTTTCAGACTAAATAGGACAGTACCAGCAGGAGCATTTAAACAAGCATACTAAATGGGAAATCAGTGTTCTGTTCAGTTGGTTTTTTTCCATATAGAATCTGGCAGCTGTTTTCACTTAATTTATTTGAATTATTTAAATTTTTAATTAAGTGTATTTTAGGTATGAGTCTATAAGAAAATTTTTATACTAGTGTATCTTCTCAATAATTGAAGAATGTGCCCTTAAATAACATTTTTCCCCCCAAAATTAGTGTTTAGAAAGAGCCATGAAGTTTGCATTTGAAGAGTTCCATCTCTGGTATCAATTTGCATTGTCCTTGATGGCAGCAGGAAAAGTAAGTCTTAATTTTTTGATGTAATTCTTCTATTGATGGCTTTTGATAACAACATTTGGCACTTTTGTAATTTTCATCTGTAGTGTTTTTGAAAATAATTCTAATCCTTAAATCAGCTAAGTACACTGTACTACTGAATTTATGCCTAGTGCTGTATAAAGAATGTTATTTCAATAGTTTCTAACTTAGCAACACTGAAAGGTGATGATAGGAGTTATCTTGCCAACAAGCTTAAGCTAAGCTAATCGAGTGTAAGTAGTGAATTCTACCAGATCATATTATCCAGTAACAACTTAAGTGCTGTTTTGATGAATGAATTTTACGCTTAGGTACAAATTAACACTGTTTCATGATGCTGTTGCTTTTTTTTCTTTGGGAATTTCTGACTGTGTCTTTTTTTAATATTACTGTATTTGAGACTGTGTATTCTGTGCAATTAAAGTGAGATGGATTTTTTTTTAAATTTTATATAACCTAGGAACTTTAATGTTATCAGATGCAATCTTCTATTTTCAGTTCTTTTTGCTTTTCCCTGTCATGTTATAGAAAATAAATCCCATTCATTATGTAATGTAAATAATACTGATTTTCTAGAAGATCATTCTCAATGGGGGTAACTTCAGCATGGGGGAAAGGAATGATTTCTATCTTCTTTAGACAATACTTTCAGAAGCACATTGGTTCTGAAGAGGCTTGATTCTTCTTCCCATTCTCTGTTTACTTTGAGTTATCTTCTAAACTGAGATTGGATGGAGGCAAATTAATTAAAAAAAGAGGAGCAGTGCCAGTCTGTTATACAATCTTGTATCAGAGCTATTCCTAAATGCTGTTTTAACTCCCAAAGAACACTAAAACTCTGCTTGTTCTGAAGACTGTCCTGTTCCTGCTCTTTCCTTTGCCTGGCTCAAATGTTGTGAGCTTACAGGCCTAGCAAAGTTTTAAATGCATCTCAAAACTATTTTCTCAATTATGTACCACTGGAATTATGTTCTGGGCAAATGTTTCACTGGGGACACTTAATGATAGTTCATAGGGGTTAAATAACAACAGCAGTGCCTAAAGTCTTGCGTTTCACTTGGTTGAGGAGCCGTGACAAATTGTCAACAAATTGTTTAGTAATGTCTCGTTCACATGGGAAAAATAAAGTGATTGAATTCTATCTGTGAAACATATTTATGCTTTTAGTAATTTCAATGGAAAATGTTTTTAACAGTCTGCTCGAGCTGTTAAAGTCTTGAAGGAATGTATACGTTTGAAACCAGATGATGCAACTATTCCACTCCTTGCTGCAAAGCTCTGTATGGGATCTCTCCACTGGGTAAGCTTTGCCACTCTTTGTCTTTTCAGCAAGAGCTGTGCTAATATGCAACAAAATAGTGGTTTAGGGATGTAGCAAATAGTTTTGCACAGTTACTACATGCACTTGGTCATCTCTATAAATACAGCACAAATATGTGTATGCACATGTACATCCATGTTTGCATGGCTAATTTAAAATATTTGACAGCAATGGTTATGTTTATCAAGGTAGCATATCTTGATACTAATCTAAGATATGGGTAAAAATGTATTAGAAATTGAAACATTGGCATACAGAGATTAAAAATGCAACTTAGACTTCTGTTTCCTTGGTGCGAGAGGAAAATAACTTTTTTTTTTATTTATAAATAATTGAATGAATAACGAGACAAATCTCTTATATTCAAGAGAATCGTCTGGTAATACCATGTTTGCAGGCAGCTGGGGTTCATGAATTCCTAGTAGGGGCAGTGTCTTTTTAAAAAGTGTTACTTGAGTTGTATTTTAGATAACCTTGAAATTGGTGTATCTGTACAAAAACCATCAAGGTGATCAGAGATCATCATGTGGTTTTCAAGATTACACGTGTAACTTTTAGAAGAATGAGTATATTTAAAAAAGGAGGAAAAGAAGGGGGAAGGGTCACAATCAGAAATTGAGAAAATAGTGCAGTAGCAGAAACATGACTTGTTGATGCTGACAAAAATACAGTCTTAATTAACGTAGATCCTAGTTCTGTAAATTGTTCCCTATGGACTGACTCCATGTGGAGTAGCTTACTGTACTTAGCATTTACATTTACTGGAATGGATTCAAATGTTATTTCTTTCATACTAGATTGTTAAATAGTGTGCTGGCATGGGTATGCAGTTATGTCTTGATCTTTTACATGTTTATTTATGAGCTTGTATACATTCAGCAATAGTGTATGTGATGCAGAGTTTTGCACGGCTATACTTTTTTTGCAGGGTTGGAGCCATAGTTCTTGTAACTGATTTTCCTAAAGAAATGGTTCATGGGGCAAGAACTCTATTTATGAAATGCAAAAATGATAGATGGCATATATGGACCAGAAATGCCTTTTTTAATTTAAAAAAAAAAAAAAAAAAAGGAAGAAAAAAAGGCAAAACCACTATAAGTTTAGAATGAACTGTGTGTTATGTGCCAGAGTTTGTCTCAACCATAGGAATGGGTGCTTCAGCTTAAAATCTGTGTTCTTTACTCAGTATTTAGAAGGAAAATTAAGTGTAGTGAAAAATGAAATAGTCCTTAAAAGCAATCATGGCTGAGATTTCAACAGACTCAGTGTGCATAATACACATGCTATGTGTTCTTCTCATTATAATGTAAGATTTAGCTAATTTTAGACTTACATGGATGTTTTATAATATTTTCAGTTGGAAGAAGCTGAAAGATTTGCCAAAACAGTTGTTGATCTTGGGGACAAAACATCAGAGTTCAAAGCAAAAGGCTACTTGGCACTGGGGTTGACTTACAGTCTGCAGGCTACTGATGGTAAGATAAGAATAAATATTCACATTTGGTAATTCCCATGTTGTCTAAAAAAGGATACCTAGCAAAACGCTAGACTTAAAATTAAAGCTTCTGTGTGCAACCTTTTTTTTCAGTCAATGTATTAAAACTTCTTCAATGAGCATGTGCAATGAAATCTCTTGATCTTGCCTATCACTGATTAAATATATCCTTTTTAGCATCTTTGCGAGGGATGCAAGAGGTCTTGCAGAGAAAGGCTCTTCTTGCATTTCAGAGGTGAGTGGGTGTTAATCTTTTCATTTCATTCTGCTTTATGTAGTGAAAGGCTTTTATTATGTGTTAAAAAGAGGGACTTGTAAAAGAATGTGTAATGAGGATTTCACCTCTGGGAGTCTCCTTCATGAGTGCTGAATGTATTTCTTTAGCATTTACTTCATCATCTTCTGTCATAAGTATCTAAACTGATTTCTAAGGATTTCCTTTTATTTCATTTTAAAGACATTTGTGTTGCTCTCCAGTATGAAATATTTTCTCAAAGGAGTATTCTGTTATGATCTAGAAGGGAAATTTTTATGATGCAAGGTTTCAAGTCATGGTTCCATGTGATAGTGTTTCTAGAAGAGTTGGTTGCTGATCAGATTGTATCGCAGGCTTTTGCAATTATCTCTGTCGAGGCAGAGCAATAATTGAGGCCTTGCTGCTGTGGATGAGGGGTGAAATGCAGGGGGAAAGAAAAAATTCTACCTGGAGATTTAACAGGCAGTGACAATGCAAATGCCCCGTCTTTCAAGTCAAGTGCCTTACACAGAGGTCGCGCTGTTGGGGATGACTAGTTCGTTCTCAAGGGTTTGACTCTACAAATGAAATGACATTAAACAGGTGAATGAAAACATCTCTACCCTAATTATAGAAGAAACAAATCTTGATGATAAAGCTGGCAGAAGTGCTGCAGCACCTTAAATATGTCTGGTTTTATGTCTATATACCCTTGAAAACCCTGCTTTGGTGAGATAGGCCGAAATGCTTCAGTGAAACTGATTTGTGCATTAATGTGAATATGAAGTCTCAGGTTTTTGTTGGTGATTTTGTATCTGAGGGGATAGGGTTGAAAAAGTGTTTTTGCAGGTAACTTTAGAGTGAGGCTGGTATGTATTGGTCCTTCTTTTTTCTGTCTTGTCTTGACTATTCCTCTGTATGTAAATATGTTTTAACATATCTTTGCTCTTCCTGTTCCTTAATGTTTTTAATAGTTTTTTATTACTTCAGCATTCTTTCTCCATGTTGAGACTGAACTTTCTACCTCCTGGTTTATACCTCAGTTCCTCACCCATCCCTCTTACCACTGACTTAATCATCACTGTTTCAAAACTACTGTGCTAACCATTTCTCACCATTTCTACCCATACACTACTTTTGAGATTCTAATAGTGAATTGCTTTCTTCTGCTGATTCTTTGAAAGAGTAAGGGATTAAATGAACCATACCTTGAAGCTAATCTATTCGAGCTCAGTTCCTGCTGATTCTACCCTCCAGTTTAGTGTAGCGATACCCAAAATTCTGAGAGTTGTTCCCTGCTATCGATCTGTCTGGAAAATTGCCATTTTCTGAGGGTTGAGGTTGCACAGTGTTTGGACCACCCATAAATATGAGGATGCTTTTATAGGCAGCATACTGCTTATTGTGGTAATATTTTATTAGTTTGCTCTAGAAAAACAATAAGTGGTTTGAGTGCAAAAAGAATAAGCAGTAAACAGTAGGTTAGGAGAACTATTTTTCAAACAATATTCAGCAGCTTATCACTGCAAAATTGCTCTTTCACACTCTCTATTTGTATACTGTTGCTTGGTTGTGTGTTATGTTTTCTTTCACCCAGGAACTTTTCTGTTTCATTCTCTACAGCTGAACAATAAGTCTCTTGATACCTTCTTAACTGTTCAGTTTTGAAGACTTTCTAGCAGCAAATAGTGCCAGCTGCAATCTGAAGACATACCTAGCATCTCTTCAGTGAACCATTACAGATGTCCTTTAGCTATATAGGTTGAGTGGAACTTCAGTTTTGTAGCAATATGGAGCTTTGAAATATACACAGAAAGTGTTGGGAACATGGGACTGATTGCATCTGCCTTTTATGTATCTTTCTGATGCTTTGGGGTTTTCTTTGTTCCTTCCCCCCCCCCCCCCCCCGCTTGTACAC